GAGCCCAGCCTGGATGCGTCGGGGCGGGTTCCAACACCCCCTTCCACTTCCACAGCGGCAACACCCAAACGCTGGGAGCGGATCACTCCTCCGCTTGCCCCGTCTAGCTGGTTTGTCTGCTGGCAGGGCTGCTCCGGCAGCGCCGAGGTGCCTGGACGCCCATAAACCTCCCTCTCTGCCTCCGATTCCTGAGAGGCGCAGGAGGTGGGTGGAAATCTCCCCCCGCTCTGCACGGTGGGCTTGCGGCAGCGGGGAAGGGGGTCACCCCGTGCTCGTGCGCACGGATCCCCATCCGATGCGAGTTGAGAGCTCGCACGCACACAGACAGAAAGTGCCAGCGACACGTGGTACCAACAGGGCTCGTTCGGAAAAAGAAGCGGGAGGAGCTTCTAAATTAAGTGGCGACCGCAGAGCCAGCGCGTTCCTGACAGACTCCTATCGCTCAGCTGCCTTCCCTATGCTTAAACAATGGCAGAAATAAACTTGCTAATTTAAAAAGAGAATCAAAATGAAGAATTAAGTTCACAGCTGTCTCCACGGGGGGGCAGGGGATGCTCCGTGCCGGTTAGCCAGACAAACAAATTCGAAATACCCAAAAGAAACAAATCAGCTTTACTGATGGAGCTGCTTCATTTCTTAAATAAAAACAGAGACCACAATCAAGCCAGTCGAGTTTAACATCCTAGAGAGGGAGAAGGGCAGACGTTTAGTAAAAGAGAGAAGTTGCGAGAACTTGTGGTCGAGGACCGACTCTGGGGGTTGATTCTTCGGTGACCTCTGTGCCCCAGTGAGGGAGGGGAAGGCGGGCAGAGCAGCAGCGGCGAGATGGTTTTTGGGAGGGCACCGGTGAAACCAGAGAGGGAAGGTGCCTGGCCCTGAGCACGAGACGGTGCAGCTGATTTCAGCCTGCTGCCTCACCTACACGCAGGGAAGGAGCCTCTCCGGAGAAGGAGCTTCCTCCTTGCCGAGGTGCCGAGTCTGGCGTTGGGATTCCCACGGCCGCATCCCTACGTGTTGCTCCTCTCCTTTGATTTTTCACCTTTGCTGTCCTGGCGGGGAGGAGGAAAGAGAAGCAGAGCTTAGGTTGCCCCACACCGCGAACACCACACGGGGGCTGCAGCGCTATCGCCGGGGTCCTGCGAGCAAAAACACCCTCCGCTTCTGGGTGCCAAAACGCGACCACCGCCCGCCCGCGCCTCCAGCTTCGTCCGTGCCCGCTGCGGGCACAAGCAGCTCCCTTCAGCCCAGCTCTCCTCGTGGTTAAACATTTTTCCATCGCGAGGGCTTTCAAAGGGCACCTCAATGGGTCGATCTCGCAGTGGATTTACAAACGCTGCGTGTTTCCCAGCCCTCCACCACGCCGCACACCGCCTCCCCACGTATGGGGAAACAACCAGCACATGCCTGCCCCGGTCCGGGCTTGTCGCGATTCAGGCTCGCTCAGCTCCCATACGCTAAGCGAGGTATTAAAAAAGAAACCAAACACACACGTGGCACTCTGGCACGCACACAGCTTGCAGCACTGGAGCGAGGAAACCGTTCCCAGCACAGAGAAACGGCACTCATCTCTGGAAAACCTTTAAGTCTGCTGCCTCAGCTATCCACAGCTAAGGTTTCGGCATTTATTCTTCCAGAGGAGTCACTGCCTCCTAGTTTAGTACTGGATTTTTCTCTCTAAAGTGTTCTGTTTTCTACCCTGAGCAAATAAATAATAATAAAAAAAAGCAGCAAGAGTCAACTTTGGACTTACTTTTTACGTGGGTTTAGTTTTAAAGTATTTAGAAACTCAAATTACCTGGAGCCCTGCTTACCACCTGCAACGAGAAGCTGAGGTTTGGGACATGTCAAAGATTAGACAGTTTAAGATTTCCTTGGAACAACGCATTTTTTGGATGGGAGGCTGCAGCATCACGCACACTCCAACGGTTCAACATCACACACGCACAGACTCACGCCGAGGGGACGGTACCTCAGGAGGCGGCGGCTTGATAGTCACAGGCTGGGACGTCCTTCGAGGCGGAGAAGGCTTGGGCTGCACTTGCTGCTGGACAGTGTTGTAGTACGTGACCCCTCCGTACACCTGGGACTGGGCCTGCGTTCCCGGAGAGCAGGGGGGGTCAGTGCTTTTCGCTGGGGGGTGCGCAGAACGCTGCGCGTCCCCTGCCAGAGCCCCGCGTCTCTCACACAGCCTTTACGGCGCACAGCCGGGCTGTGAAAAGGTGTTGCTGCCCAGCACCGAAGGTGAGTAGCCACAGGGGGACGGGGGTTGATCTGCGCTGCGACAAAAAACACCAGCCCCTACACCTCCCGCAGGACCCTCACGTACCCCTGCCCCTTCCCAGGGTCTCCCCGCTCTCGGCGGGGGGGCGGGTACAGGCTGCAGCACCCCGCAGCCGCGCCGGACTGAACTTCGCGGCAGATGGGTTTCCTTCACCCCGCAGAGTTTCCCAACTGCCATATAACGTCTGTGCTTTCCAACAGCAGCAGCTATTGTTTTTCTGCGCAGACAAGGCAGGTAACAATTCCCTTTCGCACCGAGATCCCCTCCAGCTGCCCGGGGGCTCGGGATCTGCCCCAAAAGCAGGCGGATTCGCTGCCGGGGCAGCTGGGATCAGCCCGGGGCAGCAGGGAAGGTCAGAGAGGTTGCAGGGCTGGGAGAGCGTGCACATCTCTAGCCTGCCACTGCGTGTCAGCCGTGTGCCGCTCGCACAGCAGCCACGGGGAGCGGCGGCATCCTCGTCACAACGCCCACGGAGATCTGCCTCCGCGCTGCCCAGCGGCTGCTGCGGACACAGAGCTCGGACGGGGAGCAGGAAAGGCCAGCCCCATGCCGGTCACACCGCGGGCTTCCCCGGCCGGTGCCAAAGAACAGCACCAGCCAGTGTCCGGCCTCCTGCCTCCATCGCAAACAGAAAGGACTTCCAAAGCAATTTTCAAGGTGTCCTTGGCTTAGCGTGGACCTGGAGGGGACATAATGACTCACAGGCTCCTGGTGGGCTGTTTCCCTGTTCTGTAGGGGAGACCTCGATTCTGAGATCCACCAATACCGGCATTTCATCCACTAAACCCTAAATCCTATGGGAATAGTCCATTGCAGTTAAGCCCCAAGCAGAGAGAGGGATGACAGTAAACAACCTCCCACCACGGAGCAGCCCAGCTGCTTCCCATCCTCTCCCAGGAACCCTCAGAGAATGTACCCACACACCACAGGATCCCATCTGCTCTCGACGGAAGGAGAGGCGCGGCGCAGCGCAGCGGGCTTACCTGCGTGTTGGAATAGAGGTGAGGAGGAGGCGGAGGGGGTAGTGCTCCTGGGGGGTAGGGGTAGCCAGGATTCCCAAAATTCATGACTCCAGGAGGGGAGAAGTAAGTGGGTGCAAGCAGCTGCTGCGGCGGGGGCTGGCCCGGAGGCATGGAGACCGGCGGAGGGTACAGCCCAGGGTTTGCCATGGGGGCTGGCGTCTGGTGGGGATGTAAACCTGGGAAGCGACAGAAATAAGCTGAACGTGACATCGCGTGTAAAGCCAGGGCATCCCGTGGAGTGCGGCGGCGGCAGCTACAATGCCAGCAGATCTGCACGGCTGCGCCTTCCCCGCTGCAGCAGGAAGGAGAAGCGCTTCGTTCAAAGGGTTTTCCTGCAGCCACGAGACCGCAGCTCCTGCGCCAGGGAGGAAAAAAGGGAACTGTTTCTCAGCACAGTGGCGCACAGCCCCCTCCCCAACGCCGGGGTCCCGATTCACCGGAACCGGACATGGCCCCAGTCAGCACATCCACTTCAGGAAACAGTTTTTGTGGGCAAGATAGAGAACACGCCAATTCAACAGCTCTCATTTCTGCTTTTCTTTCCTGATCTACAAGCAGCAGGGACTGAAGAACCAGCCTGGCACCACACCAGCTGGCAGAGCCAAGCGCCCCGCTGGAGGGGAAGCGACTCAGCCAGGAGGGTCTGCACAGAACCTGCAGATATCCAGCCAGAGGTGCCAAAACATTCAGATCATCTCGGTCCTGCCCTGGCTGCGAGGGCCAGAAACGTCTGTTTTGCTTTCCGTAAAATTTATATTGATCCAGCCTCACTGCGTGAGGGAAGCGGCTCTCCTCCATGTTGTGGAAGTAGGGAAAATGGATTCCCTCAGTGACAGAAGCTGTGCGAAACCAGAGTTATCTGTTCCCCAGCACAGGCTGCGCCGCCCCAGGGCACAACCGCAACATCGGTACCAGCTGCCCCGTGCCCCGCTGGGGAGCTGGTTCCTCACCTGGATGAGGGAGGTGCATTTCTGGCTGTACGATCATCCCTTGGGGCGGCAGCGGGGCCGGGTTCTCGCTGTGGGTGTAGATTGGTCCCTGGAATTGTACTGCAACGCACAACAGTTGGTAAGGAAAAGCTCCACCGAATTTTATTCTACTGCAGCAAGTCACACGCACCCCCCAGCCAGCTACCGTGACAGCACTCAAACGCAGTGCTGCAAGCTGCATTCCCATCGGCACACGCAGTCTACCAGGCTCACAGATGCTACGTACTCCCAACAGAAAAGCCTCCCGCTCCCTTTACAAAACAGGAGAATACTCGAGGAATTTCTTCTCCAACACTTGAAACGCTGGAATAAATTCCTAATCCATCCTCAGTCTTGCCCTGTAACTCTCCCCACTCTTCAATGTCAAAGACATTGCTCTGATTGCAAGTTAATTTTAAATCCTAGTTGTCACGAAGAAAAGCAGTGTCCTAGAGAGCCCTCGCACAGGGAGGGGAGGTGGCAACACTGACTGTATTTCAGTGGGTTTAAACACCAACCGGGGAAGCTCGGAGCAGCCTTTTAATTACCGCATGAGACGATGCTGCCACACTATTTACAAAGGAAACGGAAGACAAATCCCCAGATCTGCCTGACCCTAGCAGGAGGCGGGGGGGAATCCTGCTCCAGCTGCTCAGATCTGAGCACACACGGAGCCTCAGGAGCGGGAGGGAAACACTCACATGGGTCATAGTAGTGCCCTTCCACGATGCTGATGTGCATGGGGGGGGCAGGCTCCGGCACCGGCGGTCTCTGCCGCTGCGACGAGTAGCGTTTGACACGGCCCCCCTGCACCGCCTGAAAGAGTCCAAAGGCATCGGCGAGGGTCAGCACAAGGGGCCGGAGCCCTCCCTCCAGCGAGGGAGCACCGACCCACTCCCCAGCCAGCCCCTGCAAACCTCCGTCCGGGTCACACGATAAAAGCTATGAACACCCACAAAAGGGAAAGGCTGAGGTGTCACGAGCAGCCTCTAATTGCTCTAACCCAAAAACAAATAAATGCTCAGCTTCCGCGCTTTAAAAGCAAGAGTCACACTCCACGCAACATGCTTTACCATTTCCTCCATCCTGTTAAACTGAGGCGGTGGCCCAGTTCCCACGTGCATATGGTTAGGAATACCTGAGGAAGAAACAAACTGGTTATTATGGTTTGCATTTGTTCCCAGTAAAGAGTCACCTCACCCGCCGAGGGCGCTGCCAGGAGGCGCCGGTCACCGGCGGTATGAGCGCCGGCAGCCTGAGGACGTTATTGTACTACAAACAGGCACAGCTCCTTCGTTCATGACAAGAAACCTTCATCTCTTAGGTTACAATTTTGACATTTCAGTACAAATTAGAAGCTGTCGTGCCACGCTGCAATCATCCACGTGGCTCAACACCTTTTAAATCTTGCTAAAATAAATAAATAAAAAGCCTCAACTTGGAATCCAGGTCCTGATCTAAACTCTGCTCCTGTGGAGACAAGGACCTCTTCAGAGTAGAAATAAGGATCCGTGTGGGATGGGGTAAGCTGCAGTTTAAACTCTCTACAGGGCGTAACCACGTTTATCATGAGCTCCTTTTAATTCAAACAACAAAGTTATGGCGCACATTTAAAACCACAGTGCCAAACTGATCACAGGTGATTCCAGGGCAGCGAAAGTGGACAAAACGAACACGGGAAGTGCCCCCAGATCACTCACTGACAGTGCAAATATACGCATAGACATAGGCGCTGTACATACAGAAGGACCTGACGCTGGCTCATCTAGTCAAACATGTCCCAGCATTAACTCCTACCTTCTCTGGTAGGATGAAAAAAAAAAGGGACAGCAGAGTAATACATCCTTCAGGCGGTTTCCTACCTGCAGTCTAGAGCCGTCTCATGGTAAACTTGTTACGATGCTTTATATTTTTAAGCTTAAAAATAAAAAAGCACATAATCTCAGCTGCAAATCACAGCACTTTTGAAATCCCATTCTACTGGCAGGTTTAAAGCCTGTCTACTTGCATCTGCAGCCGAGAGCAAGGGTCTGTTCACACAAAGCTATTACCACTCACATCAGTGCTAGACGACTCATAGTTTCATGACCTAAACCTCAAGAGACGCTTATGAAAGCAGCAAGTCGCTTTCTTCTCCTTGCTCCAGTTTTATTTCCTTTGGGAAGGACTCTAACACTCCCCAGAAAAGACTCTAATTCTGCAAAGAGATAATTATACCTGAATGACCTCTCGCATGGATGCTCAACTAGAACTCGGTCCTCGGCTCGCACAGGGGTAACTCTGCCACACTTCCCTGCCTGCTGCTGCGAACAGAACAGCTTCCTCCTACCAGGCACAAATGGATTTGCCAGTCCAAGTCAGGCCTTAGCTAGTGGCAACCAAATCTCAACGTTAGGAAATAAGCCGATAAACAGAGGGAAGTTCCCCCCTGCTCCTAGCAGGGCATTACAGGAGTCCGATTATTTATTACCTCACCTGCCAACCGAGCACAACGCCCCTTATCTCCTGAACTCTGACTCCTGCCACAGCAGCCACTCTCACAGTGATTCACACCGCACAAAGTCCCTGTTGCCTGTGCCACACACAGACCTTCAGCTTCGCTGAAGCTTTCCCGTTCTCAATGCAGAACAGGGCAGGGAGGGAAAGCATCTAGTCTTATGTCCTTCCCAGCCCTAATTGAATTAACCTACACCAGAATGTTTAATTTCCCCCTTTTCCCTTCTGCTTTGTCCCCTCTAACTGTCTCCGCTGCACCTTCTCCGCAGCATGCATCGCCATCACGTACCCACTCTGAGACTGGACTAAGGCAGAGACAATTCAGCTTTGACTGACTGCAGGATCGCAGAACTGCCTTTGGCTGGGGCTGCAGTGGAAAACCTACGGGCTGCACCCACTTACCCCTCAGCTCCCGGGGCTGTATGAACTGCGACTGCCCCGGAGTCCAGTTCTGCTCAGTGAGATTCATTTGGGTCATCTCTTGCTCGAGTCCATCCAAGTTGGATTCTACCGGTGACTCCCAGTTACTACTCTTGGCTGGTGGGGGGGACGTCTCGGCTTGCACAGGTTTTGGAGGCACAGGAGTCAGCCCTTCCGAAGCGGGCACTTCATCTGCCAGCTTCCCCGCATCCCCAGCTTTGATTCTGGTCCTTCTCGCCCGGGAATAAGACTTCTTTTCAATTGGTCTGTCTGGCGGTGGCTGTGCAGCATCAGCAGCCGTGGCTTGGTTTTCCAAAGCGACCTCCTCCTTCACAGGGCTGCTGTGGACATGTGCCGCTTCCATCTCGGGTGACTTATCTCTGGGTGGGGTGTGCTCTGCACGCTTCGCTCGATAGTTGCTCTCCTGTTTAGCTTGCTCGCCATTTCGAGACAGATGCTGGATGCTTGCTTCCGAAGCTCGGTAGCTTGGACGGGTCTCTTTGTAGCCCCCCATCCTCGGGTAGTTCCTAGGCGGGGGCATCCTCCCGGTACCTGCAGAGCTCCTGTTGGTGAAGGTTCGTGGGGGAGCCGAAGTGCTGTCTGCGCCTTGGTGCCTTGGCGGCTTATTTGGCCTCTCGTTGGACCAGTTTGGGTCTCGCTGAGGTGGACTCCCAAACCTGAGGAAGAAAAATAGTACAAAATAGCTGTGTCAGGGAATCCCTCTCCAGGATCCAGAAATCCCAGAACGGAGGTTCCACTCCGGAGCCAAAGCCGACAAAAGGGCTTTCCTTCTTCAGGGCTTCAGACCTGTCTCCCGCTGGGACCAGTCAGGCTCTAGTTTGACTTTGCTGCTCACCTGGGTTTGCGCATCCTCCTCGGCTTGATGTCATCGGGGTTGTGAGCTGACCTGATGTCATAGCCATAAAGCGCGATCAGCTCCTGCCTGGTCTTGGGGGCCTGCTCGTCCTCCCGGAATTTGTCATGCTCCCAGCGGCCCTCGTCCTTCCACAGCTTTCGTTGACGACCCTTCGGCCTAGAATAATAACACAGGGAGGACCAGGAGGTTGTTGCAAAGCTAAGGAGATGTGGCAGCTTCAACCAGCAGCGCATGCAGAGACCGAGCGTTCCCAGGATAGGGTGTACACAGGAGAGAGCATCTCTTCTTCCCCCCTCTCCTCCTGCCCCGCAGCTGCTGGTCTACCCATCGCTATTTCTGAAAAGCAGCAAGGAGGGGCACTGCTCATTGGCAAGAGGCTTTCCTTGTGCGTTGTTTTTTTTTTTGTACCACCCTCAGTTTCGCCTCCAAAACAAAGAGCTAAAACGTCCTGGCAGGACATTGCGAGCAGGCAACTGCAGCACAGACAGATCCTCCGTGCTGATGCCTTCCCAGCACTTCACACCAAAGAGAGGAGCTGTGCTGCCAAACGCTGGTCTGGGAGTTGGCCTCACCCTCGCAGAGAGAGGCAGACACACGGGGGATGCTCACATACCTGACCTCCTCCTCCTGCGTCTGCCCTCGCAGGTCATGCTCAAAGAAGAGCCCTTTGCGCGGGATGTAAGCCGGGTTCTTCCGATCCTCATCATCATGAAGGTGTTTGGGAACTTTTTTCCCAACTTTATTCTCAACAGGCTCAGTGCTCTCCTGTCAAAATCAGAAAGCTCTTACCACTGCAGCAGTCCCTCTACAAAAAGCCCCCCACGGCCCAGACAGCGCATGTTTAACACCTACCTGCCCATCCCCGCTTTGCCTCTCACCAGTTACAGCACCTTTGGAGTCAGGTTTCTCATCCCCTTTCTCTGCTTTTGCCGCTGACTCGCAGGAATCATTACTATCCTGCTTCAGTTCCACTTTGGCGCTTTCTTCCTCACTGTAATCCTCTTCCTCTGCCTGAAAGAGCCCCAGTTACTCGAACACGCACCTTTAGCAGCAGGTCCCCCAGGAATTTCCCCACACAAGTCCCCAAATCTGGAGTTAGATCCCTGTTCCAGTTGTCAGGAGACCTGACTCTTTCAAAGCACAGGAGTAGCTCTCAAGGTCCTTCCTATCCCTGTATTCTTACAGAAAAAGCAAAGACTGAACCCAACGCCTCTTCCCACCAACCCCTACCAGCGACACTCAGGCCATCTAGAGCAAAGCCGGGACCACCTCCCACACAAAGCCACAGCCTCGCACCACTCGGAAAGGAAAGGGCTGGCGCAAGCCTGGGAGAGCAGCGAACAAGGGCCCTCAGACCGTCCCTTCCTTCCCACACTGAGGGCCCGGATCCAGCCAGCGCCGCGTTTCCAAATTCCCTGGAGTTACTCAGCTGACTCACTCCGAGCACTCTGCTCACAGGAGCGTGACCTCGTTTCACCCTCCAGGAGCCTGCAAGCCTTGCTTAGGCTGGAACTGACACTAAAAATAGCTCTCCGTGATTAACAAAAAGACTGCTCTATTTTTCTCTTTCAACACAGTGTATTTGCACATCAACTGCTCCTTTTGTTTACGTTGGGGAAACCCAGACGTGGCATTATTTTTAGGCACAGGAACGGAGTCATCCTGGCATGTCAATGATGCAATAGCCCCATCGCTCCAGCAGCCCAGCGCGCACCAGCGCGGCTCCGCTTCTACGTGCACCGAGCCCCCGGGGAGCCTCCGCGCAGGTTTCCAGGCCTGAAGAGCCGCTGCACGGTGAACGCGGGGAGCCGCCTCTTACCCTCCACGTGCCACCTCTACAGCCTGCCACACTCCTTCCTCACTCACGGCAGAGACTAATTCACAAATGAAGAGCACCTACGAGCTTTGATTTCATCTGCCCTGTTGTCTTGTGTTTTCCCCAACCGCTGCCCCTCTCAAGATCCCCCCAACACCTGTCTCAAGAGAAGGGTTTTCACTAGAAAACCTTCATAGTGATCATTAGAAACCAGAACTTCCCGAAACTTCCTCAAGACCTTAAACTTACAGTTCTGAACCAAAAATCCAGGGAAACCCACAGCCACAGACTGCTGCCCAGGCGCAGGCAGGGGTTGTCAGTGCACGCGAGGGGTGATTTTCTCAGCACACAGCCAGCACTCACGGGGCGCGTCACCCCTCCAGCCGCAGAAGACAGGGATGCTGCCTGGGATGCTTCCAACCCAGCACTTATGTTTTTAATTTCAACTAATTAAAACACAACCAGCATCCTGCACCTCCTTCCACACCCTTCCTGGCCATGGAAAATCCTGCTCCCAGTACCCAACGCTGAGCAGCCAGGTGTTTTTTTACCCCGTACACAACTGGCCCTACGTCCACCCACCAGCAGCGCAAGCGGTTTCTCCCCGAGACTGGGCCCAGCGCTGAGGGCTGTACGGCGGAGAACTGCCCGGCGCGGGGCTCAGACTGGGAAAGACCGTTTTCCTCTGAAGCAGCAATGACTACGCTGCAGCACAGCTCGCTCCGAGTCTCTGCGTGGCTGGTGCGAAGCACACGAGACAAAGGCAATCACTGCCAACAGGGTCAGTGGAAGACAACGAAGGACACAAACTGGGTTTTGTGCTATAATTACGCAAGACGCAGTCGCTTGGCAGAACCCTCCAAACACCAGGACAGAGACTCCTCTTACCTCCGAGTCTTCTGCGCTTTCGTAATCTGAGAGTACAGCTGCGGGCGAGAAAAAGGAGTTTGGTGTCAGGGCAGAAACAGACACAGCTTCTCTCCGAGCGTCACACACCGCGCTGCGGGCGACTGCTGGCAAACACACGCTGAGCAGTCCCACCAAGGGGAAGTCAGAGGCCAGCACCAAAGCGTCCCCGACTAGTCCCACTGCCAGCTCACACAGAAGGAAGCAAGGGTGAGTTTGCAGCACGCTGCCCCTGCACCCCACGTTTGTCTGCTATTATGAGATAATATTTGGGACGACAACCACCACAGGACTATTGGAAAAGGCATTTTGTCTGTTTTTTACTTTTTGCACGCAGGCAGCACTTGCAGTGCCAGAGAGTCGTTACTCACCATCTCCTTCAATGCCATCCTCGCTTTCCTGCGGAAAGAGGGAGAGAAAGGTGCGTTAGCGGAGGGGAAGGTCAGCAGCTGAGTCCCTGTGGCATCCTGCGATCTCAGACATAATTATAACAAAGTCTGGCCCTGGTCCTATCGCATTCGCCCTTGGAAGTTCAGCTTCAGCAACTGAGAAATCATAAACAAATTCAGAGCTTCCAGTGCCTTTCTCTAAGATCCTTCTAGAGCGGGCTACGCTGGGGGAACGCAGCTCGAGAAAAAAAGCACAAACCCTTTTAACTACTGAGGGTCTTCGGAAGGAAAAGAGTGACACGGACAGATGAGACAGACTCCCCTCTGATAACGAAGAGGCAGACAGCTAACCCAGGAAAGGACAAGAGGATTACTTAAAGCAGGAGCCCAGGAATAACGAACAGATGCTGAGCAAGACCGAGCTCAGGAGGACATCTGCTAGAGACTCTGGCGACAGAAATACAACCCTGCACCCGAGAGACGATGCTGGATGACGCGGAACAGCTCAGAGT